TAACAAGTTATTAGCAAATATCAACAATAAAAATATTTATAAAAGTCACACAATTCTAAGAAATTGTGTCATTATATACATCATTGTTTTTCTAATTGAAATTAAAAAGCAGTCAAAATTACTTCCTTGGGCAATCTAGTGTTAAAATAGGATAATTTAGAAATTGTTACTTTTAAAATGATACTTTTAACTCAAAACAACTGCGAGTTTTCTGAGAAAATTTTAAAAAGTTAGAGCTGAGGTTTTTTCTGATTCACACAATCAAAATAACATCCTGCCCTAAAGATTATAAATAGTTAGCATTTAAAACGAGATAATATTATATGTATCCTGCTTCACATCCTGTTCTCACAACTTATCAAGGAAATATTTTTGTTTCTACAATTTAAAGAATCTTTAATTACGTTATATATCATCTTTTATTTTACAAATCTTTTTAAACTTCGGAAAATATATATTTAGTACACAACCGTAAATAGACATTCAAATCTGTGACTAAAAACGTTTAAATAGTGATAATGTGATACTGAAATGTACTTATTTTCAAAAAGGAAGCAAGTTTGCTAAAGTAAACTACGAGTCTTCAACCCGTAACCCCCAGGGAGCCCCGATTGTCAACCTATGATATTTTAGAAGCTCACAAAGAGATTATAAAAAAATAAACAAATAAACATTTCCACCCAATATTTCAATAATAATAATACCGATTGGAAACGTTCCCGATATTATTATTGAAATATTACCATGAAATATTTATTTATTTAAAATTTTCTTAGTGAGCTTCTAATATACACTCATGTCCATAAATTAAGGATAAATCAGAATCACACGGAAATCAAACTCTAAAATTAAAATTTCACCTGTAGAATTATCACACACATCCTGAAGAAGAATATGCAAATTACAGGAAACTACTAGATGACGCTGGTAGTACGTCACAATGACGAGAGTGTAAGAGAGGGGTATATAAGGAATGGTGGCAAAGAAGTAAAATTGTTCACAAGCGCTTTAAAAGCCTTTCAGTGCAATAACCGCATAGTTATGGCACAAAGGAAGCATTTGGATGATTTTTTACGTGGCAGAATCATCGGACGACTGGAATGTGGACGTACCCAGATGGAAGTATCCGAGAAACTTGGAATCACCCAGAGTGTCATCTCCAAGCTTTGGCAACGATTCCAAGATGATGGTAATGTGAGTAGACGTTACAGCACAGGTCGCCCCCGAGTTACAACGCCGAATGAAGACCGGTATTTGACAGTTACTGCCAAAAGAAACAGACGGAGCACAGCATCAGATCTGTCTCGTCAGCTCGCCTCAGCTACCAGTACGACAGTTTCAAGGCAGACCGTGTACAGACGCTTAGGGCACATTGGTCTATATGCTCGTGGGCCTGTCAGATGTGTTCCACTTACCGCAACTCACTGTCGCCTGCGATTAGCCTGGAGTAGAGAGCATGCATTGTGGACACCGCAACAGTGGTCTTGTGTGATGTTTTCCGACGAGTCCGGGTTTAGTTTGCAGTCTGATTCTCACCGGACTTTCATATGGAGAGCGCAAGGTACCCGTTACCACCAAGACAACACCATTGATCGACACCGTTACGGTGGTGCAGGATGGCTCGTTTGGGGAGGAATTATTCTTGGTTCCAGAATTGATCTGCATGTTCAGAGTGTAACAATGACTGGCCACATCTATAGGGATGTCATTCTGGAACAACATGTACTTTGTTTCGGGGCGACATGGGCGCTGAATTTCTGTTTATGGACGACAACGCCCGTCCTCACCGTGCAAACATTGTAGACGAATGCCTTCAGTCGGAGGATATCACCCGTATGGATTGGCCAGCATACTCACCGGACTTGAATCCAATAGAGCATGTGTGGGATATGCTTGGCCGATGAATTGCAGCCCGTCAACCCCCTCCCACCTGTCTACCGGACTTTTGGAGAGCATTGCTTGATGAGTGGTGTAATATTCCCCAAGATCAGATTGATAATTTGATACTCAGCATGCCTAGGCGTTGTACGGCCTGTATTGCATCATCCAGGAGACATACTCCGTATTAATCATCATACTAACCATGTTATACTGTTTTTTGTAAATAGGTTCTTTTTTGAAATTTGCTCCAAGGAGTAAAAATCGCAATTTTTATTAATTACGTCAAACATATAGCATCTTTTTTGCTCTTTACCTTTTGTTTAATACATGGACTTTACAAATAAGTAAAATTTGTTTGGCTTCTGTCTCTTTCTGTGCCTGAACTTCATTATCCTTAATTTATGGACATGAGTGCATCATAGACGGACAACCAGTTGCCTGAGTTTACGGGTTGATGCCTCGCAGTTTATTTAACAAACTTGCTTACTTTTTGAAAAGTTTATTTCGGTATCACAATTTAAATGTTTTTAGTCTCAGACTTGAATGTCTGTTTATGGTGTTATTTACTAAAAATATTTAGTCTGAAGTCTGAAAGATTTGTAAAATAAAAGATGATATAAAAGCTAATTAAAGATTTCTTAAAATGTTAAAACAAAAATGTTTCCTTAAAAGTAAGCAAGTTTGTAATTAAGTAAACTACGAGTCTTCAATCCGTAGCCCCCATGTAACTGGTTATCCATCGAAGATAATTTCAAAGCTCAGAAAAAGGATTTTTAAAAAATATATAATTTACCGCAATATTTCAATAATAATAATAATAATAATAATAATAATAATATCGATATTTTGATCTGAATTACATGACTGCGTTATTTTAAAAATAAGATATTAGCCAACAGTTTAAAATNCCATCGAAGATAATTTCAAAGCTCAGAAAAAGGATGTTTAAAAAATATATAATTTACAGCAATATTTCAATAATAATAATAATAATATCGATATTTTGATCTGAATTACATGACTGCGTTATTTTAAAAATAAGATATAAGCCAACAGTTTAAAATATCCAATTTTTCTAAGCTTCAATCTTTTTTTTCTTCATAAAAGTGGTTTTTACTTCTCAACAAAATGTTACCGTAAATGAACCACTACCTCCAAATGAGTTAATACGAAATTACTCTAATTCTGTATTAACTCTCATTCTGTCGCTTTAATAATTGCTCTAGTTCTGCATTGCTAATTCTAAGCTCTTAAATCCAGTGAAGTCATCTTACTCAGTAAAAAAAAATGACTAACTGGACTAAAAGAAACTTCAAAATCGATGACTTAAACATATATATAAAGATAAAAACATAAAAATGTACTCAGGTTACAATCGAACGACTATGTATGTTATTTCTGAAAAGTAGAATGGTAGTAGTAAAAAGATTTTGTTCTTAACTTTTAGTGTGTTCATTAACTAACCTTATTTAACCTTATTAAGCTTCAAGGAATTTAAAAATATATATTAAAGGTGGTAGATACTATAAATCTCTATAACTTATTTTTATTAACTATTTGCGTAACATGGTTTGAATGCATCGCATTTTTAAGTTACATTCTAAAATAATTCTATTCTGCAAATTTTCTACATTAAAAGATGAATAGTACTTTATGAATTTAATATAATTTAATAAATGTATCGACAGAAAATTTTGTTTAATAAAAATTCACCAAAAGCTTAATGTAATTTTTTCTAACTAAAGGACTTTTTAAGGAACTTTTTTTTTTTTTAAAGGAAGTGTTAAAAAAATGACGCTACATAGAAGGAAAAATGTTTTAACTGTCAAAATGTATTCTTTAAATTATCCAATATGTAGTTATTTAACGTAATTTACTGGTATTGGGTAACTACGTTAGTTCAAACTCATAAATTCCGCTTTATGAACAGAATGCCCATAAAGCGGATTTGCCGTCAGATCGTCTGGTGCACTTTATGGACAGAATGTCCACGGATGACTTATTGATGGAACTAACCCTCATTTGCATTACGTAGACAGGACAGCTACGAAAACTTCCCATGGTTAGCCTGACGGCAAGGGGACTTTAACTCATGATCCGTCTACCACTGAGGATATTTTACGTCAGCAAGCGGGATGCGGAATCCGTATCCATCAGCCATCGCTATGATTCGAACCCGGTTCACCTCACTGTAAGGCGAACGCTCTATCAGAATTTCAAAAATCATTTGTTCAGGATAAGATAAAATAAACCTTGCAGGAAGGGGGGGGGAAATAAGCAATTCTACGCTACTGTTAAAAATACGTATCGTAAAGAGGATTTTAAAAAATGATGTATACTATTTTATGGCATTTACCATTTTTTGTTTACGGTGTTTTGGGCAATGAAGAGCTCAATTATAAATCAATGAAATTAAATGTTTTAAAATAATATTTATTCATTTCAGATGAACTCCAAGAAAGAGCTAATGCATACATAGATGATTTTATATCTAAAGCAACAAACGGGTCAGGAGGTTTCATCGATCCTCTGGAATTAGACGATTTGGTGAAAGAATTCGAACGCGAGATCGCTTTCGTCAGAGTTAAAGGAGAAGCTAAACTATATGATGGAAAAATTTTAGGTCTTTCTTCTCTGCAGAGAAAAGGTAACGCTGTGGTAATCGACTTGGATGAGGTGCTCATGATATCTACTCAATTAACATTCAAGAAAATCCAGGCCTCATACAGAGGAGCTTTGCTTTTAAATGATCTGGGTCCCAAAGTTACACTGAATGCAAGAATTGGAAATTCAAAAGTTTCCATGTTCCTTCTTGTACCTGCTGAAGGTGGCAAGGCAGATTTGATGTCTTTTAACATTAATAAATTGCAAGACATACGCATCAGCATTTTTGGATTAGGACCTATGGGTTGGGGTGCTGGTCTCTTGAGCACTTTGGCTCTGAACGCTTTAGAGAAACCTGTAGCTAAAGCAGCGTCTGTTAAAATATTTGCCCATTTTAGTAAGGAAATTGAAAAATATCCCTTCCCAGGTAAGGGCGACGAAGTCATCACAGAATCTGTCTTTTAAATATGCTTTCAAAATTGTAAAATTCTTCATTGAATAAAAGTCTATTGTCGAAAACTACTTCAGTGTTTTTGACTGATCATAAATGTGTCTGTTTACTGTGGAAATATCTTTAGAATTACATTGTCGCAAACGAAGAATTGATCTGTGTTATAGATGGTTGACTGAATGTAAATAATAACAAGCTTCCTCAAACCGGAAGAAATTTAGAAAACTTCCGGTGTATCTCTCCGCTTATGTAATGCTTACGAGGTGATGCGTGAACAGGCTTAATATTCTCGGAAGTTTTGTTATTGTGATTTGTGTTGAAATTTATGTGTAGTTTTAGCATTTATAAGAGTTTTTTGTAATTTATAAATTCTAACACATCATGAACCTAAATAAATTTAAGAAAATTAATATCACAGCATAAATAAATTGTAAAATTTGGCATGCTTTGAGCTCGCTGTGTCTTCCTAATTCATTTGTTATGTTACGTTGAAAGTTCCGGTTGCAAACTTCCGGTGGAAAACTTCCGGTGTATCTCTCCGCTTATGTAATGCTTACGAGGTGATGCGTGAGCAGGCTTAATATTCTCGAAAGTTTTGTTATTGTGATTTGTGTTGAAATTTATGTGTAGTTTTACCATTTATAAGAGTTTTTTGTAATTTATAAATTCTAACACATCATGAACCTAAATAAATTTAAGAAAATCAATACCACAGCATAAATAAATTATAAAGTTTGGCATGCTTTGAGCTCGCTGTGTCTTCCTAATTCATTTGTTATGTTACGTTGAAAGTTCCGGTTGTAAACTTCCGGCGGAAAACTTCCGGTGTATCTCTCCGCTTATGTAATGCTTACGAGGTGATGCGTGAACAGGCTTAATATTCTCGGAAGTTTTGTTATTGTGATTTGTGTTGAAATTTATGTGTAGTTTTACCATTTATAAGAGTTTTTTGTAATTTATAAATTCTAACACATCATGAACCTAAATAAATTTAAGAAAATTAATACCACAGCATAAATAAATTATAAAGTTTGGCATGCTTTGAGCTCGCTGTGTCTTCCTAATTCATTTGTTATGTTACGTTGAAAGTTAAATTGAAATAACGCATTTTATTGTAAACACTACAAGTATAATAATATTAGATAACGCGCATTTTCAAGCTTAGGAGTAGAAATCAGTCGGAAGTAGTGACCCGGAAGTCTTACGACCAGTATTAACCCTAGGTGTCATCTGTGTTGAGCTTTACACGGTCAACCTTCCATAATAGATAATTTGTTGATGTTAAAAAATAAAATGCAATACACAGCGTGAATGGGGCGGAGCCTCTTAACTGTTTATAATAAAGTGTTGTTAAAAAGTTTACTGCTAGTAAACAGAACAAATTTAGACACAAGCAAGGGGTACCCGGTCTCACTCTATTGCCCGGTCTTACTTCATGCTTTTTTTATTTCCAATGAGCTGCACAATCGGTCTTGCCGATGAGCAGACCTAGTGCGTTCTCCAGAGGTGGTATCCACTCTTTCAGGACCACCACAATGGGTGAGCTACCATTGGTCATGCTAATTTGGACGTCT